AATCCCGAATTGTAATCGATTTTCAAATTATTCAAGGCTAAAGCGGACTGTGGCTTGGATATATCATTTTGTTCATAACTTACTGAGAAGCACTCAAAACAAACCGATGCTAAATGGTGAGCTGACCACTGATGAAGAGCGCTAGGCGGAAATACGTCTCTGCAGATTTTTGAAGGAAGATGCATTTGCAGATGAATTTGCTGACATAAGGCAAAAGGGAACAGTTTCAGCAAGCAGTACGGTAAAGATGCTGAGTCCTTTCATCGGCCCGGCTGGTCTGCTGCGAGTAGGCGGAAGGATTACCGGGGCTACGTGCCTATCAATCGAAGCCAGACAACCAATACTGTTGCCGACTACGCATCGGGCCACGCGCTTGCTTGCGGAAAATTATCATGCAAAATTCCTGCACATCAACGTTGCAACAGTGATGAGTGAAATCCGGCAAAGGGTTTGGATTCCTGCGCTCCGAAGACTATTAAATAGTATACAGTCACGATGCCAAGCGTGTCGCTTTAGATGTGCCAAGCCTCAACAGCCGCAGATGGGCAATTTACCAGCGGATCGGTTAACACCTTACATCAGGCCTTTTTCTTATACCGGACTAGATTTCTTCGGGCCAATTAACGTCACCATTCGACGGCAACGAGAGAAAAAGTGGGTCGCACTATTTACTTGCCTCGCTGTGCGTGCTACCCATCTCGAAGTGGCGACTGACCTATCGAGCGATGCGTGCCTGGTATGCCTAAGGAACTTCATGAATAGAAGAGGAGTGCCCGTGTTGATAAGGAGTGACAATGGCACCAACTTTGTGGGCATTGAGAAAGAGCTTAAGGGTGAGTGTTCGTTTTTGGACAATTCTTCTTGGATTTCAGCAGGGTTCGTATTTGCACACACATGCTCTGCTCACACACACGCCAGAAACACATAAAAACTTGTACTCACTGCTCATACACATGTGTGTGCATAAGTGGAAAACAAACTCTGCTCACAGAAAAGTGTGTGCTGTTTGTTATTAAGCACATGCACATGTGTGTGAGCCGATTTTTGTACAAATTTCAGCCCATGCACATGCACATAATATATTTTTAAAAGAATTTGTTTATTAAACGTTATTTTTTGAAAGACAATTCAATAAAAAGTGAGATGTTGTTGTTTTTTATATGACAGAAAACATATTAAAAAATTATTTTAAGATTTGAGATAGAAATCGAAGTGTATAAGTTTCTCTACGCAAAGCACACACATGTGCGTGTACTTTATATTAATAAAAATAAAGTACACACATGAGCCCGTGCTTTTTACCAAACAGCACACACATGTGATGTGAGCAAGTTTTTAATTTTTTATATGCACAGCACACGTGTGTGAGCGTAAAATGTTAGGATGTGCTGCGCATGTTTGTGCAAATACGGACCCTGGATTTCAGGCTTGACCTCGTTGGGCATCCGTTGGAAGTTTAATACGCCAGCAAATCCAAGCGAAGGTGGTGCATGGGAAAGGCTGGTCCAATCCGTGAAGACAGCGCTACGGATGATGTTGCGCGAACAATCACCACGCCTCGAAACGTTGCAGAGTTTTCTAATTGAGGCTGAGAACATGATCAACGCCACGCCCTTGACACACCTACCTGTAACACCAGAGGAACCGGAGCCACTGACTCCTAACCACTTTTTGCTTGGATGTCCCAACTCGACGCAGACGCCTGCTCCTTTCGAGCCACGTCTGATGTGTCTACGCAAGCAGTGGCGAGTGGTCCAGAATCTCAAGAATGGCATGTGGCAACGGTGGATACGGGAATATTTGCCTGACTTAACACGACGGACAAAATGGTGTTTGCCAGTAAAGCCACTCCAGCCAGGGTGCCTGGTTTTAATCTGTGAAGCTGAAACTCCAAGGTCGCAGTGGAAGAGAGGAAGAGTCTTGGAACTACACTACGGCCAAGACGGCGTTGCTCGGTCCGCTCACATCGCTACAAGCAGTGGTACTTATCATAGGCCTGTTTCGAAATTGGCAGTTCTTGATGTCGAGGCGAATGCAGACGGTGGTGAAGCCTCCCCAACCGGGTCAGTTCACGGGGGTGGGGATGTCGATGATGGCAACCCAAGAAATGTTGCTGAACAAAAGTAGCGGAATTTATGTATGTCTTTGTAAGAGCGTATTCATGTATTTCAAAACAGTTGTTTTAGATAACTTAGGTACTTATGGTTGTAGAAGATATAAATGCGGGTGCCTCCGAAAATTTCTTTCTTCTTTACATTGTTCACGGAGCGAAACCAGTGTGAGTAGAAATTGTAATTTTTTAAGTCTAATTTGTATTTAATATGCTGCTAATTTACTAGAGAATAAACCACTCAACCAACTATGTAACTGACAACTAATTGTATACCTTCGTCAAGCAACTACATTATTTCATATAAAAATAACTTACAAATATTGAAATTGGAGCTTAGTGACATTCATTTGCAGCCGTGCCATCTTCTAGTTGGTTCCAAGTTTATTCACATATCCGTGGCAAAGAACATCTTTATTCTACTGGCTGGTAATCTCGCAATTCCCTCAAAATTAAACGTCACTGCTGATATTTCCCGCCATTTTCGTTACTATTGCATTTTTTAGTCGTGTTTTATGTCACTAAGTCCAATTACACCGAGAACTAGCAAAAGGAAAAATAAAGGTTTACTGCCCGTTCGATATCGTGATTTAGACAAAAAAAATGCCGCTCTCCAGATCACCGAGCGACCAAACGCCAAAGGAACATTCGAGGTCATCCAGCCAGTCGCAAATGAGCTCATCTGCACAGCAACCTTTGACTTCGAATGCTCAGTCGCAGACCGCCAGTCTAGCTCACTCACAGAATGCCCTTTCAAAGACACAGCAGATTGTTCAACCATCTTCTGCTCAACCACAACCAGATGTATCTGTCCAGCCGCAACAATCGAAAGTGAAAGAGCCGCCAATAAAGTCAAGTTCACAGAACAAACCACAAATTAATGTTGATGAGCTAAGCCGACAATTGAATAAGAGAATGGAGGACATGAAAAACGAGTTCCAGCGCCAAATGCAAGTCATGCAAACATTGTTGGTTTCTAATACCCAACAACTACGTGTAGAGATGGCACAGTCTAGATCCAATGCCTCGTCAGAGACTTCTTTGATTTCGAAGCCGGCACAATCGCCGTCATCGGATATGTTGCCGCGAGAGCCAACTGCACTTCAGTCAATGCCGCCCTAGTCGCAAGCCTCCCTGCCGCTTGCTCCGCCAATAGTACAGCCGTCACCGACACCCCTAGGTCCCACTCCATCTACGTTTTCAGCCTCTCAGCTACCGCTCACCGCGCCGCAGTCAGCACCATCGTTTATGCAAGGTTCGCAACCAACGTCGCAGTCTGAATCGGCGCCACCGTATATGGCACAGACTCACGCACAGCCCCAGCGCGTACTACCACACTTCAACTATGAAAACCAGAATAATATGGTACGTGCTAGGAAAATATACCCACTTCCTATATTTTCAGGTTCGCCGGAAGACTGGCAGACGTTTATAGAGGCATTCGAGAGCACAACCGCCGAATTTGATTATTCTAACCTACATAATATAATGCGCTTGCCCGCCGCATTGCAAGGTCGAGCAAGAGAAACGGTAGTGTCGCTCTTGGGAAACTCTTCCAATGTTACTACGATCATCGAGATATTGCGCGAAGCCTTTGGAAGACCACAGCAATTGATTAAAAGCCAAATCGAGAAAGTTCGATCCATCCCGCCGTTAGTAGACGGCCACCTCGAGTCGATCGTCAACTTCGCCAACAAGATGACAAACATGGCGACGTTTTTGCAAAACGTGGATGGTTTTCATCACTTGTCTAACCCAACACTAATAAGCGAATTAGTAGCAAAACTACCAACAGCACGACAAATGATGTGGGCAGAAAAGTGTTTGCAATTGGAGCGACCTCCAACAATTGTAGACTTCAGCAACTGGCTATGCACACTACGCCGTCTGGCTAACATGGTAACTGACACACTGCCACATAATCCTGTAGTGCGCAGACAACAGCAAGTCAGAAATAATGACGCACCTAATAACCGCCGCTACGCATGCGCCAGTGTTGTGCAATAAAAATGTCTCAATTGCAAAGGCAATTGCAAAACCTTGAGAAATTGCCAATCTTTTTTGCAGATGACCAGTGAGGATCGGTGGAAAAAAGTGAAAGCCTTAAAACTCTGTTTCTCGTGCCTCAAAAAAGGTCATCGCGTGCAGCAATGCCTTTCCCGTAAGCATTGTAGAACAAAAACGAGTGTCAAAGAGTACACCATCAATTGCTCCACGCAGATTTTGCTGCTTCGCCTTCCGGACGACGCGAATCAAGGGTGAACCATCACCCGTCTCAATTGTGGCAAATCCGACTACACCGCAACAGACCGAACACCGAAATTGCCTTGCCGACTGCAGCTCCGATAAAGTGCTCTTTCAAATTTTGCCAGTCAAATTGTATGGGCGAGATAATGTTATATCCACGTACGCATTCGTCGATGATGGAGC